AATCATGAATGCTAGAATGATTTTTAAAGTGTAATTTTAGCTTTTCTGATTTAATTTAAATTTCATTCTCTGTATTACACATCTTTTTCATTAAATAATAACCAAAGACATGAAATATTTATGATGTTTTGCTTTCATCCATAAAGTCAATATGTCATTAGGAAAAAAACAGTGCAGGTCCATCCACAACAAGGCTTGAGGCTCACAACTAAAAATTTTTATCTTTGTCAAACTTGCTTAAATATTAAATTTCTTACAAAATTCAGCTCCTGAAATAATTTCTTCTAAACCTCATTCTTTACATTAAGTATTGAGATAAAGTTTGTAAAAAGAGTGTTCTTAGATATCAAACCTTTGTCTTCTATGCTCTGACATGCTAAACAAATTTACTTATTCCTCTCCAGCCTTCAGAATGCAAAAGGGGCTAAAAATAGTAAAACTGCTGGTATAGGAGTATTTTTAGAGAGTATTTTTACAGAAATGGGGAGGAGAGGACAGGGAAGACACAGACTTTGGGTTTGGGTCTGGGATATATCCAATTTAACAAGTACATATTAAAGACCTACTATATAAAAAAGCACTATGCAGGGGATGTGCTAAGGAATAGAAGTGATGGTGACAAATATAAGTATTACCTCACCCTTGGCTCCGAAGGATTTTAAAAGCTTGAAGCAAAGATAAGAAAGAACACAAACAACTCTAAGTCAGAATGTGATAAGTGCTGCAATAAAGGTACAAACAATGCACATGGCTAGGGATGGGAATTGAAGCTGTGATTTCATTGACTGAGGTAATTCCTTTGACCAAAAGTAGCTTAGGTATGGTCTCTGCAATTTATAGTCTTAGAAAGTTGCAAGGGGTATTAAAAGGTTAAGTGACTTGCTCAGGGTCACATATGTACACATGAGAGGCTAGACTTAAGTTAGCTCCAAGGCTGATTCTTCTCCACAGAAGAGAAGGAAGGAGGAAAGGAGAGAGGAAGGGATAGAGAAGGGGGGAAAGAGGAAATAGCATTTTTTAGTTGTTTTTCAGTAGTGTCTGACTATGACCCCATTTTGGGTTTTCTTAGCAAAGATTTTGGAGTGGTTTGCCATTTCCTTCTCCAGCTCATTTTACAGATGAGGAAACTGAGGCGAACAGGATTAGGTGACTTGTCCAGGGTCACAGAGCTAGTAAGTGTGGCTAATAAGCCAGATTTGAACTCAGGATTTTCCTGACTTCAGGCCCTGCACTTATCTACCTACTGTACCATGTAGAGCATTTATAAATAAATGACTTATAGATGCTAGGCTAAGCACTAGTCATACAAATGAAAGTAAAAAGAAAGATAGTCCCTGCCCTCAAGGAGCCTACAGTCTACTTGGCGTTTGAGCCAGGCCTTGAAAAATAAAATTTCAACAAGCAAAGAGACTGGTGGGAGGAGAGTTCATGATCTGAGAATTCAAGGTAGAGATACGAAAGCATGAGCAAAGGCAGAGGTATAATAAGATAGGAGAAGCAGAGAAAAACAAGTAGTGGGGAAATGCTGTAGAGCTAGAGTTAGAGTAAGAACATGAAGGGCCCCAAAAGCTAAACTCCCAAGTTTGATATATATTTAGGGGTGGGGAACCAGCAGAGGTCACATATGGCCCTCTAGGTCCTCAGGTGTGGCCCTTTAACTGAATCCAAACTTCACAGAACAAATCCCCTTAATAAAAACATTTGTTCTGTAAAACCTGGACTCAGTCAAAAGGCCGAACCCAAGGTTCATAACTGTCTACCTACAACTAACTGTAAAAGTCTATCAAGGAGTTACTTGATATTTTTAAGCAGGGGAATAACCAAATGATCACAATTGTGCTTTAAGATACTAGCTCTAGCAAGTGCGAAAGATGGATTAGAGCAGAGAAAACTGGGCAGACCACTACGGAGACTATTGCAATAGTCCAGACAAGGAAGAAATAAGATCCTGAAATAGGTGGTAGCAGTGAGAACAGAAAACAAGAGAATGAAATATTGATCCATATTAGTGGGGTTTAATGGTAGTAGACGAATAGTGCCAATGTGAATGAGTACAATGGCTCAAGTTTAAGAACTAGAGATTCCTAATCTCCCATAAAAACAAAAAGAGGCTGAGTGACAGATCCCATGCCACGATACTAATCCATTAAACAAGTTCAAAAAAAAAAGTAACAGCCTTTTTTTTTTCCTGACTCATACAGAAGTAAGGAACAGACATCATCATAGACATTACTTAAATTGCCTCTAGACAAAGAGCATTTGATCAATTTCCAGGGTTTTGTTTTTTTTTTTAATAATTGAGTACCAAAGAATAACAAGGCATTATTTTCATTTGATAAGCTGCTCTCTCCTGGCAAAGAAAACCAAATATCCAATGGCAAAATTTGATTTCTTGCCTAAAATACTTTCAAGTCCCACTATTTCACTATTAAGCATAATGGGAGATAGCGGAAAAGATAGGAGGACTGGGAGTCAAGATAACATATATGTGACCCTAAGCAAGTCACTAAACTGATTTAACTTGAGTTAACTCATCCATAAAATGGGTATAACTGTAGTAGTGCTTGTCCTACCCTAGCTTACAGGACGGTCACGAGCAAATGCTTTGTAAAGCAGAAAACTTGAAATCAGTACATAAAAATATTGAGTTATTATTCACATCCGGTCTTTGGTCAAAATAATAACATAGTCTATATCACTCTTCTTTTAGTATGGCCTTCTTGTCAATAATTACTTCACAGTTTTAGGAATTCATCTATGTCATCACCATTCCCTCCTCTGACCACTCGGTCTCTCCACTGCCTACGTGGATGCTGTTCATGAGTTGGTATGGCCAAAAAAAACCCTATTATCTGGTGCTGAGTCTGTCTGAAGTAGGCTGGTCCTGGGACAACCAACAGATTCTGAGTCCTTTGCCAAGCCCATATGCAAACCATTTTCAGCATGGTAGACCATAACAGGACATATGCATAGCCTTCAAGGATCTGAGATTACTTCCACCCAGCAGGAGGCACAGGGTTTAGATTCAGTAAGGTCTATCCAAATTTAAATCCCAAGAAACTTGTAAAAACTTTGGCAACCAATAATTTTTAGAAGAGAGGCAGCTTGGCTCAATAGCTTAGCGGGGAAGGGCTCCAAGACACTCGTTCATTTGTCACAGATCTGTTGTGTGACCCTGGGAAAATCATTTAACCTCTCAGTAACACAGACTAAAAATTTCAGAGAAACTGCTAATACACTGGTAAATGAAATCTCCTCACTGGGAGTACTGGCATTCACCGATGAAATCACGAGCGTAGTAAAAGAATTTATTTCAAATAAAAGGAATTTATACTATTCTTATTTCCCATTTTTTTTTAAAGGAGGAAAACCATATCATGTTTGCAAACACTATAAACTTAGGGAGAAAATGCAAGAATGAAGGATATGTAGAATAAAATCAAAATCCTTTAAATTCCTGAATATACCAATAGAAAAAAATGTATTCTAAACTTTGATGACACGTTTATTAAAGTTCAGCAACATGGAATTGCAAAAATCCCCCAAATTAATAATTCCTACTTTCTTGGCCATTCATTAGTATCCCACTGAAACACACTAGATTCAGAAACCAGCTGTCCCTTTCTTCCTCTCTCCAAAGGTCACAAAACCCTTCGGTAGCGATGATAACAGTTTGCTAATGAATAAGGACTATCTGCCAAGGCAGTCTCTCTACCTCTCTACCTCAAGCATCCCTCCCTTCTTTCAATAATTCTCCACTCGGGATAGCAGGCTCCTCCTCTCCAACCGGATCTGCCAGAAGTATCCCCTTTCCCCCCATATTCACCCTGATGCTTTTATTGCGTATATATAAAAGTGACAGCTTCGAGCGGTAATGGTCAAAGCTGCCGGAATTTTTCCGGCCTTAAAGCATTAGGCCGCTGGAGTTTGCTAAAAGCTTTCCAAAAATGAACCCAAGATCAATTGAGTGTATTTGCTCTTCCTTCCGGAGAAGTCCCTAAGGACTCTATACTTACCTCACCTCACCCCACCCACCATGCACTTCCCACTTTTAGGTCCGTCACTATTCTTCACCGTGACACAATCAAAAAAAAAAAAAAAGGAAGTATCTTTAAAAGTCGTTTGGAAAAAATTTTTTAGAGCTATAATCAGTCGATTGGCATTATCTTACTAGATATCCCTCCAAGAACTTTGGAAAGTTGCTAATGTGTGCACCCACACCCAGTCTCAAAACTCTCGTGTCATCAAAAAAAATCCTATCATTTCTTGAACTTAAAAGTCATCGACAACCATCCAAAATGGATCGATCTTAAAAGAGAAGACTCGGGCCAAGCAAGCCCCCTATCCCAGTGGCAGCGCAAGGAAGCAGAGGGGAGGACGAGAAGGGGGACTAGGGTCGAGCGCCCCTCCCTTACCTGGCTTGACTGGCTTAGGTGGCGGCTTCGACATCTCTCCTGCTGGGGCGGCTAATCCGAAAGCCCGGGAGAGGGAGTAGACAAAGTACAGCGCTCCGTGCTCTACAAAGTTTTAGTATGGATCCCCGGCCACTCTCTTCTTCCGTCCCTCCGAGATTGGCCGAGCCCACTTCTCCTCGAAAGAGAAAAAGACTTGAAGGACGGTTTCCTCCAAGTTGTTCTCAGGGTCGCGAACGCACGACAAGGGAGAGCTTGGTCAATGAGGAAGTGAACGCTACATCAGCAAAAGCTAATTGGTTCGCGGGCCCGGAGCCCTCCAGCTGCAGCAGCAGCAAATGCATACAGCAGAGATGCGGAAGCGGCTGCGGCCGCGGCGGCAGCAGCAGCCCAGCCCCAAGTCGAGCCCAGGCGAAACTAAACGGGCCCGGGAGAGAGCGCGCGAGCGAACGAGAGCGCGGGCACAGGCGGCGCGCGCCCGGCCTCTCAGCAGGCGCCTCGCGCGCAGCACCAAAGCGCGCAACCCGATCTGGGACCAGGGTGCGGGCGCGCGTCTCGCTGCGGGCTGAGGCCCCGCCCCCAGGCCGGAGCAGGGGCGGAGGGTAACCTGAAGAGGCCAGTGGCCTGTGCACAGCGGCCGCCCCCGGAAGGTGCCGGAGTCCCCAGGCTTTCCGCGTGCTGGTTGCGAGGGTCTGAGCTGATTGCACTAATTGACTGCTTGCACTGAATGTTGCTCGTGCCCTCTGGAGTACCAGGGGCGAAGTGGTGCCTGCTTGGGACTGCGGAACCCTCCGGCGCCCAGGTGAGTACCCGATCAGTGCGGCGCTGCCACTGCGGCGTCCGCTCGGAGTCTTCTCCCGGGTGCTCGATTTGCAAGACGCTTGGCAAGTGCGCTGCATCCATTTAGGAGTGCCTCGGTAAAGGGTGACATCTAGGACCTTCTTCGGGAGGGTCTGATAATGGCGCACTTGTAGAGGCGGATGTTGTTGTCACCGTGAGTATTCCACTGGGAGAGCTGCCTCCTAGCGTGGGAATAGAGGACGGGTCTTAGAGGCAGGAGGACCTGGATTCGAGTCATCGTGGGCAAGTCACTTAACCTCTTAGTGACCAAGCAATTCTCTTAAGTTCAAATTACCAAAAAGTAGCCCTTCTTCATTGGTGGAGAAAGTTTCCACACCGTGTGGTTACTTCCCAAAGGAGTGAAATCACGGTTCCCCAATTTTGTCACCACCACCTCTCTGTAAAATAAGTAAATGATTATTGGAGAATTCCTAATAATCTAAGCTATCTAGGAATTGGGCTGCTTCTGTTGCTAATAAGCTTCTCATCACTGGAAGTCTTCCAGCAACTGGTTATATGTGTTGTGGAGAGGGTTATTTTTCAACCATGAGTTGGATTAGATTGCTTCTGTGACTTTAAAGGTCATAGGCTTGTAGATTTAGAGCTGAAAGGTACCTTAGAGGCCATTTAGGCCAGCCTTTTGATTTTGCAGATGAGGAAACTGACTTGCTCAAGGTCACTTAAGTAGTAAGCTTTGGAGGTGCAATTTCCTCCCAAGTCCTCAGACTCCAGAGTCGGTGTCCTTTCGTTTACATTCTTATTACCTCCAAAAAGGTAGCAATATCAGTAAGTACTAACCCATATACCTTCTTTCTAAAAAATTTTCATGAATATAATCTTCAAATGAACTGGGAACATCATTGTTGAAGGTATGAGGATTTCTACAAATTCTACGGCAAACTGCATCTTTACTGAATGGTATGGAGAATAAAAAGATCCCAATGTGCTTGTTATTTGATGTTTTGCGGGGGAAGCAGTTGAAAACTCAGCTCCGGGGGGGCAGCTAGGTGGCACAGTGGATAGAGCACCGGCCCTGAAATCAGGAGGACCTGAGTTCAAATTCACCCTCAGACCAAACACTTGACACGTACTAGCTGTGTGACCCTGGGTAAGTCACTTAACCCCAATTGCCTAACAAGAGAAAAAAAAAAAGAAAACTCTGCTCCAGTGAAGTGCCTCTATACATAAATAAAATTTGTACAAAATTCCTTGAAACATCTAACAGAGGCATTAATATCAGATTAATATCAAGCAAGTCAGAAACCAGGCAGGAACCAGGCAGGCATTCTACTTAAGGTGTTTGCCAGTATCATGCAGTACAGGATCCAAATGGAAGAGCCATTCCCAACAGTCTTCTAAAAATCACCCATTTGCGGGTGACGTTCTGCTGAGTACATCAAGCTTTGTGACATTTTACAGACTTCCTCCCCTACCCCAACAAGATCTATAATCACTTCTGAAGCTTGGGTCTAACTATCCACACAGTTTAAAAAAAAAAAAAAAACAAATGAATGAAGCACACCTGCTATTCAGAAGAAGCCATCTAATTGGACGTCAGGTCCATATTGCTGATCCATCATTACGTTGTTGTCGTTGTTTGTTTTTGGTTCTTGAAGAGCACCATGAGGTCAGAAAAATGATGCCAAGATTTGCAAGTGAATTGGATTTAAGTGAGGGAAGGCTGTGCAAGGTCACCAGCCTCACTTTCTCCTCCAGAGCCATCTGGGTCCAGTGGTAAGATATGGATCAGGATGACTGAGGGTGCTCCTGGGCCCCCACTCCATCATTACATACACCTTGGATAAACACTTAGATTTGTTAATGAGCCAGGCTTAAAACTGAATAGAAGGGAAAAAATGGGGATGGATTGCCTTTGGAAAAAATTATGTAGTGCTTTTAATGACCCAAAGCTTCTCTCAGAAAAAAAAGTCCCATCATTTTTACTCCAGTATTCTCTTTTATTTGAGAAAGAGTCATCCAATATTAATATTTATACAGTTGTACTTTGCTTGAATTGAAAATGTATCAAAGATATCACATAACACCTATGCAAATAAAGGATGGGGAATGACCAAAGAGGGGAAAAGATGGGGGGAGAGAGGGAGATACCTGTGGCAGGTAGAGAGGGCTGAGGTTAAATTTTACAAGTTGAGTATGAGTTAGCAGTGGCTGGCCGTTGTGAAAAATGCCAACCAAAATCATGCTTTCACTATATGCTGCGTTTATAACTTCCTTCTTAAAATTTTTATAAATACGCTTTAAATGGATGTGGAAGAAACTAAAGCAGGACATAAGAATAATAACAAGGATAATTAAGATGGCAAATAGGTCTTAAGAGTACAGTTTAAAACAATTGGTATTGTTTTAGTTTAGATAAGGGAAAGCTAAAATGTGGTTTTAATTGAAGTATAGGGTTGTTTTTTTGTTTTTTAACATAGGAATGCTGAGCAGGTATTTTCCATGTCTTTGGAAGACAAAACAGGTGGAAATTGACTTAAATGAAAGTGACAAAGATTGTAATTAGACATAGGGAAGAAACAAATTGACTATTATAGTAATAAAACCGTAGAATGACTCCTGAGAGGTTGAGCTATCTTGGATAAACTAAAGGATAAGGCATGAAAAGGTATTTTTTCAGTGCCGTCTATTTGCAAGGTATTGTGCTAGGTGATGAGAGAAATATAAAGAGTATGAGATACCCACCACAACTTATTTTATAAACCTTTTCAAACCTCCCAAGGTTTCGTCATCCTCCACCCTTTCAGTTGAGAACCTTCACTCATCTTCCACTGAAAAAATTTTTTAAAGAATAATTTGTGGAAAGTTTGCCCTTCTCTTCTTCATCCCCCATCACCCAGATGCTTTCTTCGACTCTCTCCTCCTTCACTCTTCACATGAAAGGACACGTGTCCTTTCCCCCCGGCAAAGCTAATGCTGGGTGTGCAAGTGATCCCATTCCACCCCACCTTGCTCCCTCTGCCATACTGACTGTCTCATTTGTCTTCATTCTCTCCCTGTTCACTGTCTGCCTATAAACCTGGTCATATTACCCCATCATCAAAAAACTGTTGCTAGATCCATCTATCTTCACTATCATCCCTTATCTCGCCTTCCTTTTTTTTCCTAACATTTAAATTTGTTATTTATTTTTAACATTTTTTAAAAATTTTGAGTTTCAAATTTTCTTCCTTCCTCCCACCCCCTCCCACGTTCTCTCATATCGACTGAGAGGGCAAGTAATATAATATAAATTATATATATGAAATCATGCAAAACGTATTTCCATATTAGCCATATTTTTTCTTTTTTTAAAGAAAAATAAGGGGAGAAAGTTATACTTCAATTTGCACTCAGACTTCATCAATTCTCTCTTTGGAGGTGGATGTCCTTTTTTTCATCATAAGTCCTTTGGAACTGTCTCTGATCATTGTATTAGTCAGAGTAGCCAAGTCTTTCTTAGCTGATCATCATTACAACATTGCTATTATTGTGTACAATGATCTCCCAGTTCTTCTCACTGCACTTTGTATCTGTTCATATAGTTCTTCCCATGTCTTTCTGAAATCACCCTCCTCATCATTTCTTATAGCATAATTATATTCCATCGCAATCATGCCATGACTTCTTCAGCCATTCCCCAATTGATGGACATCCCCTCCCTTTCCAGTTCTTTGCCACCACCAAAGGAACTGCCACAAATATTTTTGTACATGTAGTTCCTTTTCCTTTTCTTTCACCTCTTTGGGATACAGACCTAGTAGTGGTATTAGTGGGTCAAAGAATATGGACAATTTTATAGCCATTTGGATATAGTTCCAAATTGTTCTCCAGAACTGTTGGATCAATTCACTATTCCACCAGCACTTCATTAGCGTACTTATTTTTTCCTCATCCTCTCCAACATTTGTAATTTCTGATAGGTGTGAGGTGATAATACAATATTCTTCTGATGGTACAATGTCACTGCAAGTCATGCAATACCACATATAGTCTCTGAATAACTCAAATTGCAAGTCACCCAAAAGGCAATGAGAGGCCCATATTGAGTGTGAGTAGATTGCTAGGTACCTCCGTTGCTGCCATCAGAGATATGTGTGACTGAAACAGAAGGTGGGTGTGGTGAGAGCTGTAACTAATGACAGCTCGTGCACCATTCATTGGTATCGGTGCAGCATCAGGCAATCAAGAGGGAGGTCTTCAGTATGTCTCCCCATGGAGAATTCATGGGAAGACATGGACAAGAGTCATTCAGGATAAGAAGCTGTGGATGGATTAGGATCTGCTTGAATGAAGGGAGCACCTACAGCAAAAAGATAAATCACTGATCCATTGAAATATTGAAGCAAGTCTTATAACTTTGTTAAAAAGAAATGAAGTAAGGTTATTTTGACATATTTTGACAATCAACAACATTTATTTAGTGCTTATTATGTGCCCAGCATTGTGCTAAGCACTAGGGACACACACAAAGAAATATAAAAACTATCCCTGCCCTCAAGAAGGCAAAATTCTCCATGAAAAAATAACTGCTTACATATCAAGTTGAAGGAAGGTAATCTTAGAGGAGAAGGCACATGGAACACTGGAAAAAACCTCAGGCATAAGATGGGGTTTGAGCTAGGTCTTCAAGGAAGCCAGGAAAACTAAGAGGTAGAGGTGAGGAAAGAGAGCTTTCCAGACGTGGAAGCAGCAAGTGTAGAGGCGCTGTTGGGAGATGGAATGTCAGGTGTCAGGGAGATGGAGAGAACAGTGATTAGGCCAATGTAGCTTAATAGCATAACATAAAATAATGTAACAGCTGGGTGACTCAGTGGATAGAGTGCTGAGCCTGGAGTCAGGAGGTTCATCTTTCTGAGTTCAGATCTGGCCTCAGATACTTACTAAGCTGTGTGACCCTGGGCAAGTCACTTAACCCTATTTGCCTTAGTTTCCTCATCTATAAAATGAACTGGAGAAGGAAATGGCAAACCACTCCAGTATCTTTGCCAAGAAAACTCCAAATGGGATCACAAGGAGTCAAATATGACTGAACAACAGCTGAACACAACAGCTAGATATAAAGTCTGTGGAGGAGGGAAGAGTATAAGAAGCTTGGAAAAAGAGTGAACCCATGCTGGCTTGAAGTCATCACCACTTCCTTATCCTAATAGCAAATGAAGCTAAATCCTCAAAGAGGATGTAAAAGCCTTTGTAACCTAGCCCCACCCAGCATTATTACTCATGACCCCTCTTCATGCACTCCGAGGTTCAGCCATACTGAATTTCTTGCTGGGTTTCACAGACAACAGTACATCTCTCATTTCTGTTTCTTGGCAATGGTTGTCCTCTGTCCCCAGAAGGTTCTCCATCCCCACCTCCACCTCTTGGAATCCCTAATTTATTTTAGGACCCAGCTCAAGCACCACCTTGTTCAGGATGTCTTTGCTGGTCATGCTAGTGCCTAAAGTTACCTATTTTGTGTGTAAGTGTGTGTGTGTGTGTGTGTGTGTATACACACAATATGGAGAAATTAAGTGACTTGACCAAGATCACACAGCTAGGAAATGATGACAACACCAAAATTCAAACCCTGGCCCTTTCACTCCAAATCCAAAATTCTTTCTACTACTGCCTCCTGGGTTCACAAATTATACATTTAATATTTTTTCTAAAATTTTGCTGGGACTCATCACTAAGGACATTAGCTTGTAGTATCCTGTCTATAGTTTTTAGTTAATTCTTTGCTTGTTGTCTCATTCATTAGACTGTGAACTCCTTGGGAGCAGGGACTATCTTTTACCCTTCTTTGTATTTCCACTGTGCTTAGCAAGGTACCTGGTGCATAGTAGGTGCTTGATTAATATTTATTGACTGATTGACTAAGTTCAGAGACTCCACCATTTTCCCCTTTCTTAAAAGTGGGACATCAGTTGCCTTTTTCTGATACTGTAATACCAATCTGTAATGATGTGATTATAGACAGTGATATACAGATAAGGGAAATATTTGGACAGCAAAAAACCATCCCTGCTCCTCTCAAATCAGAGCACATTGTCTACCCATGAGGTATGGGTTTGGCCAGTACATATATACCAAATATACAAGAAAAATACAAATAATAAAAATTAGTCCAAGAATATATTGGCAATCACTAGATTCTGTTCTTTGTGACTCCTCCAAGCTCACCATCAGTTCTTCCACTTCTCACCTGTATACAAGGGATTTCAATACCCAAAGATGCTACAAATTTAGTACAGCTAACTTTGAACTCATCTGGGGCAGTTAGATGCCAACAGGACATAGTAAGAGAATAGCTCATTTAACTTTTTTTTCTTGCTCTCTCAAAAGGATCTCCCTTCCTGATTCTACCAGGTTTTTAACACTAAGCAATGCCTTAGAAGAGTGTTTGGGGATATCCCTAATTAGAACTCCATCTTCATCAAAAGTATTTAAGAATCTGATGATACACCAATTACCTAAATCAAGTCTCAGCTTCCCACAAAGACAATGAATGGTTTATTTTCCCTGAGGTTGTTTTTGACATCCCAGTGTGTTTCTGGCTATCTTTAAGGAGAGTTAAAAAAAAAATTCTCAAAACTAAATTTAATTCACTTTGGGGTCTTATCTGGGTGTTTGTGAATGTATCCATGGATACTTATGCTTATTTGTTTTTGTATATACATGAATAAATTCATAAACACATAATTATGTATAATAGGCACATACAATAGAACAACTCTTTGAGGAGTCCCTGAAATCAAACAAATGAAAATAGGATTTAAGACTCATAATTTGGGGGCAGGGAGTGCCCCCACCTGGTGCAGTGGATAGAGCACTGACCCTGGAGTCAGGAGGACCTGAGTTCAAATCCGGTCTCAGACCAGCACTTGACACTTACTAGCTGTGTGACCCTGGGCAAGTCATTTAACCCCAATTGTCTAAACAAACAAACAAACAAAAAAAAGACTCATAACTTCAGAAAGGCGGGCATAAAGATTTCTGAATGTTTTGAAACACTGAAGAAAAACTAGCTTCTTAGTATTCTATTGGATTTCATATCTCTAATTGAATCTCTGTTTCCAGAGTGACAATCTAAGAAGCCTTTTCTTAAACTTTCACAACAAGCCTTAGGCGAAAATTGTAATGTAGGTGAAGTTTGTCTTTAAGCTCTTTCCTTTTTCCTCTCTCCTTTTTGTATTCTTTCAGGGCTTCTCCCTGCCCCTTCTGTCAAAGCATATGGAAAATGAATTATACCACTAAAATGTTAGTGGACTCACCATCATTCCTTCAAAGAAAATCTGAGCTTAAAAAAAAAAAAACTCTAGAAAGATGGTAGTTTAACCTAAAGAAATGACTGTAATGGTATGAATATAGACCGTGGTATACAGAAAAGAGAGCTGTTTTGGCAGCAGAGGACCCTCCCTGCTGCTCTCAAATCAGAGCACACTGTATATACCTGAGGGATGGGTTTGGGCAGTACTGTACATATATGCAGAATACACAAGTAAATTACAAATAATAAAAATTTTATGCATGTATACATACTTGCAATTACTAGCTGACTCCAATTCAATAAACATCTATTAAATACCTCCTTATGTGCAAAACACCATGCTAGTTACCAGGGATACAACAATAAAACATATCCCCTGTCCCCAAGGGATACAACCCAGATGAGTAAAAACAAAATAACTTGAAAAGTAAGAAGGCACTTCCACCTAGGGGGTATCAGAAAAGGCTTTCCATTGGAGATGGCACCTAAATTATCACCTAAATGAAACTAAGGATTTGAAGAGGTAGAGGTGAGGAGGGAACATTTTCCAGGCATGGGGGACAGCTTGTACAAAGACACGAAGTCTGTAGATGGAGCTCATAGTTTGGAGTACCTAAAATGGGACAGTGTAACATATCTAAAACAGAACTCATTATCTTTCCCTCAGAATCCTTCAGAATTTCCCTCTGACTCACAATCTCTGCCATCCTTGGCTTCTCTTTCCCACTCACTCCATATATCCAATCTGTTTCTAAGTCTTGTCATTTCTACTGTGATAGCATCCTCATATATGTCCCCCTCTCTCCGCTCACACAGATAACAACAGCTGGTTCTCCTTAACGCCTGCCTGAAGTATTATATTAGCCTTCTGGTTCGTCTCTCTGCCTCCAGTCTTTCCCACTCTAATTCATCCTCTACTCAGCTGCCAAAGTGCTTTTTCTTTTTTTTTTGGCTAGGCAATGGGGTTAAGTGACTCGCCCAGGGTCACACAGCTAGTAAGCGTCAAGTGTCTGAGGTCTCAGGTCCTCCTGACTCCAAGGCCAGAGCTCTATCTGCTGTGCCACCTAGCTGCCCCCCCAAAGTGATTTTTTTTTTTTGGTGAGGCATTTGGGGTTAAGTGACTTGCTCAGGGTCACACAGCTAGGAAGTGTTATGTGTCTGAGGTCTGATTTGAATTCAGGGCCGGTGCTCTATTCACTGCACCACCTAGCTGCCGCCCAAAGTGATTTTTCTAAAGCACAGATGTGACCCCTGCCCACGTCCATTTAATAAACCACAGTGCCACCCTCTTAGTAATACTCCAGGATCAAGTATAAAATCATTTGGCATTTAAAACCCTTCACAATCTCTCCCCTTCCTACCTTTCTCATCCTCTTATACTTAATATTCTCTGTGTCTTCTATGCCTGGGATTCTCTATCTCACTTCCAATTCCTGACTTCCTTTAAGATGGAGCTCAAATCCCACCTTCCGCATGGGGTCTTTCCCATTCTTATCCCTCCCTTCCCCTGCTAGTGCCTTCCCTCTGAGATTACCGTAGATCTATTCTGTATATATCTTGTACATAAAAATTGTTTGCATGTTTTCTCTCCCATTAGAACATGAGCTGCATGGGGCAGCTAAGTAGCGCAATGGATAGAGCTCTGGCCTTGGACTCAGGAGGACCTGAGTTCAAATTCGGCCTCAGACATTCGACACTTACTAGCCGTATGACCCTGGGCAAGTCACTTAAGCCCAATTGCCTCACCAAAAAGAAAAAAAAAAAGGAATATGAGCTGCTTTAAGATGGAGACCATGTATTTGCTGTACTTTGTCTACTCAGCTCTTAGCACTACACCTGGCATACACCCGTAAGCACTTAGTATATGCTTGCTGACTGAATGACAGCTGCAGTCACATCAGAGGAGGAACCAGGCTATAGAGAAAGAAGGTGTAAGCTCAGAACATTGTTCTACCTGGTACAGTAGTCACTTCATTGAATAAATTGGCCAGGTTAGACATGACCTGGTTTACTGAAAGAACCAAACTCCAGATGAGCATGATGGCACACCCCTATGATCCCTTGCTACCAATGAGGCTGAGGCTGGTGGATCACTTGATCTTGGGATATCTGAGCAATAGCGCGATAAGCCAATCAGGTGTCTGCAGTAAGTTTCACATTAATATGTTAAGCTCTGGGAACTGGGGTTGCCCAAGGAAGGGCAAACTGGCCCAGATAGAAACCAGAGCCAGCAATAGCTTCCCTACTGATCAGTATTGGGATCCAGCCTATGACTGACTTACAGCCTCCAGATCAAGAGACCCAGCCTTAAAAAACAAAAACATGTTTATGATAAATTACAGCAACACTCAACTATCTCCGATAAGAGGAGAAACTGGCATGAATAATTTTTTTTAAATCATTTGTTTTGAGCCCTGGATACATCATGTGAATTTTTAAAATTAATTAGTGAATATCAGAAATGAATTCATGAGTTGATTGATTTGAATTATCTTAGCCTGACACTAGTTGTTACCACATAGCATTGGAGCATATCAGAGAGAGGACAACCTATTGTTAAATATCAGCTATGAATGGTCAATAGGTTTGAAAATCCTTACATGAATAACAGAGATGAATATATTTTTCCTGTTAGCTCATTTTATCTTGTGATTGTTTTATTTCTAAAAAATTGTCCTTTAATGATTTTTTTTTTTTAATTTTAGGAAGTGGAAGTAATTTGAAAGCACGTTATGAAAACACTTGTTGTTGGAATTAGTGGGTAAGTAGCAATCAGACTGCTTTCCTCTGAACAACTAGCTAAGAGAATAGTTTTCACAGGTGATGTAGAGGAGGGGAAAGAGGGATGATTTTCAAGGACTGGGGCACAGTCCAGCGAGGGTGGACCTGGGTAGAACACACAAAATTGTGGAGCTCCTAGAAGGCGTGGGGCAAGGGAAGCGCAGGAGACTGAATACCTAATAGTAGTAGGGAAAAGGTGGATGGCAGCAGGTAAAAGTGTCTAGAAAGGAGAAGTTGAGAGAGTTGGAAAAATCTGACCTTAGAAGTAATGTACTGAACAGTGAACATTCTCTCAATTCGTGGTGATTTCTCATATCCTTCTCCCCAGCTTTAGGGACCATCTCAGAGACTTAGTGGAGAGAATCTGTCTCTGTCCAGTTTTAGATAACCGATGACTCTGGAAACAATCTCAGTTCCTCCTTATGTATGCCTTAACACACAGGAGACAGGTGTTCCAATCAGATACCTGGGACAACTCTGGGCTATATGAACAAAGATTGTACTTCCTTTTCCACCATTACCCTTTTTCTGTTTCCCCAATATGTATTCAAATTTTATGTTACTCAATTGCTAAATGACAGGCTGAACCACTGTGATGTTTCTTTAAGAGAAGTTTTTGTTTATATGATTACAGCATACAATCAATGGGAAGTGGTTTTAACCTCTGAAACATCTTGAACTCTTCTTTTTCTCTGCACATCCAATTGATGGTCAAGCCTGGACTAATCTACCGTTGCAGTGTCTCTCATAGCTGTCCCTTCTATTCTATTCTCACCTTTCTAGCTCAGGTGTTTTATTACCTCCAAACTGGACTGCTGTAGTAGTCTTTTACCTGGTCTCCATGATTCCAGTCCTTACCCCCTTCAGTTTCCTGTGGAGGTAACTGCAGATTAATGTTTCAAACATATTATCCTGATTGCATTATCTTCTCTTCCAAAACATCCAGTGACTCCCATTTTCTACTTCTCAGTCGGACATTCAGGCCTTCCATGGTCTGACCCTAATCTTAGCCTTCTACCTTTTTCTCCCACTATCCATTTATATGTGGGTAGTCTGTGTTGCACTCTTATCTTTTCATGACTCTTCACCTTTGTTCCTGTCATCTTCTTCATCGTGAGTGCCCACCCTCATAACTTAACTGTCAAAATCCTAATCTTCCCTCGAATCATGGCTTAAATGCCCCCTTTCCCATTCAGCTCATCCCTAGAATTCAACAAATATTTGTTAAGTAGCTACCTTGTGAAAAGGCACTGTGCAGGAGACACAAAGACAAAAATGAAACATTTTCAATGCCCTCCATGAGCTTATATATTATGCTATGTACAGATACATGTGATACAAGGTAATTTGAGGGAGAGAGCACTAGAAACCAGGGAGATAAGGAAAGGCTTTGCATAGAGAACATAGGAATTGGGACCTGAGTTGAACCTTGAGGAAAAAAAATTTCTAGGAGACAGAGCTAGGGAGCAAATGCATTCTAGCTCATAGGAAAGCACAGACACAAGATAAAATGTTGTATTTGGGGAAAATTGAGTCCCGTTTGGACGGAACAAAAGGTACACAAAGAGAATTATGAAATAAGGCTAGAATATTGGTTGGACCCTGGCTATGGAGAGCTTTAAATGTCATGGTCAGGAATTTGCATTTTATCCTAGATGAAATAGGGCACCAAAAGGTTTTAAGGATGGCACTTACATGGTCAGACGCATACATTTTGGATTGTATCCAATGTCCTCTGTTTTGTGAAGGATGAATTGGAGTAGGGGGAGGCTGGTGGAAGGGAGGATAGTAATATTGCTATTTTAACAGTCCAGGTGAGCATTAGATTGTAAGCTTCTTGAGGTCAGGGTCTGCCAGCACTTAGCACAACACCTGGCACAAAATGGGACTTAATAAATAGTTATTGATTGATTGTGAGGATGGTGTCCTGAACTCAATTGGTGGTCAAATGAGTGGCTAGGAAGGGATGCCTATAAGAGTTGAAGAAATGGAGAGGGGACTACACTACAGTATAGTATAGAAGTATAGAGTATAGACAGACTTTCTCTAAAAGTTTATCAATAAAAATGAAATAGATACAGGATGATAGCTTAGGAGAGTTGCAGGTTCAAATGAAGTCTGTTTTCTTTTAAGAATGGAGGAGATCTGAGTTTGTTTATAAGTACCCGGGAAGGAGTCAATAGACTCGGAAGATAAGAGAGAGACAGAGACAGAGAGACAAGGAGAGAGCTACCGAGAGAAAGAGAATCTTGGAATGATTGATGAAGGGAAGTTCCTGGAAGAGAGAGGAAGGTATGGAATCCAAGAATGGTAAATTTTGACAAGAAGGGCCACCTCTTCCTCAGACAGGAGCAGAGAAGGAGGAAACAGGTGAAAATGAGTTCTGAAGACTAGAGAAAGAGAAATGAGGAGCTCATGGTGCATGACTGGTTTATTCAGCAAACTAGGAGGCAAAGTCATCAACTGAGAGATAGAGGATAAGAATTGTGTTAGGGTTAGAAGGGAGAAAAGAAGATATTGAAGAGCTGCTATCAAAAATGGGATAGAGAGTTAATCTGGGGAGAATAAAAGGGTCCATAGTGCAGCCAGGAGAGCCCAGCTGAGATTGGATGATATGAATCTATGTGGACACAATTCATACAGTTGCATGATTTCTTTCAACAGTATGCAGCAATTCAAGTCAGGGGGTGATCCATGGTTAAAAATTTTCAGAGTTTGAACAATGCAAGTATAAGAAGAAAGGAACTTATAAGTAAGACCCAAAGCAGGGATGATGGATTGGGGAAACATCTATGGAAAGAACAACTGACAGCCTCAGACACTAGCTGTGTGACTCTGGAATTCAAAGTGAAGATAAATATTTGGTTAAGGAGTAAGGCAGACGGAAAATAATTGGACGGTAGGCTATAAATGTTGAAAACTTTAGAGTTCAAGGTTATAGAGGTGGTGTAGTTTTGGGGCTTGGTAAGGTCTGATACATGACCTCTCTAGTTGGTAGCTAGGGAAAAGTGGAGATGGAAGTTATGGAAGCTGAAGAAGTTGATGAATTGGGAGGTTAGAGCATTCAAGGTGATGTCAAGTTGAATATTTATGTTCTAAAGGATGAGATCAGGAGTTGAGGTGAAGGGGAAGACTGAATCCTGGAGAAAGAAGCTAGAATGACCCAGGGACCAGTATTTGATAACAACTAAAAGATGAAGATGGAATAAACTTCAAAGAAAGAAAGACTGTTGAGTGATGGTGGCAGAGAAAGGATGCTTTAGTGAGCAAGGAGTATTCCAATACCTGTTTTTGTGGCCCAGTGTTTCAGGGGAAATGAGAGGAGCAGCCAAGACTGAAGAGGGTGCTCAGGGATGAGGTATCACCCTAAGAAACTCTGGTTTCCATGAGCACAAGAAGAGGAAGAGTATGAGAAGAGATAGTGTATGTGGAAGAGTTTGATGATGGAGTGGAAGTAATAAAAGATAAGTGAAAGGCAAAGGAGGAGGGCCAGATGAGATAGGGATGAGGGTAGCAAGGGAAAGGGTTTTCATCTTGGCAGAAATTAGCTCTGAAATTAGGGATTAAGGGAACTGTTTGCTAGCCAGAGGACAGGGGAAATGCTAGTTGATCAGTTATTTAGGTCATGGGATCACAAGCTCAGAGATAATGGCAGTCAGGAAGGTCATGTTTCAGAAGAGGCCCCTAGTCCTTGGCAACAATCAGTCAAGTCAAAAAGCATTTTTTAAAATCCCTTAATACACACCAGGTACTATGCTAAGTTGTAGGGATACAAAGAAGGGCAAAAACAGTCCCTGACCTCAAGGAACTCAATTTCTAATGGAGAGGCAACACGTAAATATGTATAAGATACATACAGAATGAATAGAAGGTAAGTTTATTGAGGAAGGCACTAGAGCTGGGGGACCCAGGAAAGGCTTCCTGCAAGGAGCAACGTTTGAGCTGAGTTGTGAAGGAAGCCAAAGATTCTAAGAAGCAGGGTTGAGGAGGCAGAGCAGCGTTGTCCTTTTCCATGATGGTCCTCTTGAAGAGGGTTGGGGCACTGGGTTCAAGCACAGTGGTAGCAGCCCCTCCTTAACAGCAGTGGATCTTGCCTAAGGTCACAGAGCCAGTAAGTGTATGAGGTCAGATTTGAACTCAGGTGTTCTTGACTTCAAGCCAGCCACTCTAACCACTGCACCACCTAGCTGCCTTGGACTTAAGTAGGTCCACACTAGAGGTATTATGAGCTTGGAATCTGTCACAGGCTAGACCCCTTAGAGGCTTTGTTAATGTTAATTGACAGGTCAGCACTGTCTGATACCACATATACCATGTTGCATGAATTTCCCAGGTTTTTGGTAGCCATTGCATGAATAAGCCAGCATAGGTAATAGACAAGTACACTACGATTTATTTATCCACCCAAAAGTGTGACACACTCCATCAGTAGGTGAGGGACGTGTGTCTCACAGTTCCACAGATGACTTAGGGATGGTCTCTCCTCCTGAGCTACATGACCCAGAGTTTGGATAGGATCAGTTAGGTGTTAGGTCTTTAGGCAGGCTTACAAAGAAATTTGGTTAAGATAAGGGTTAGGGCACATAGATAGGAAAAGGTACATTTTTAGCAAAAGAATAAGGATGTAAATTTAGGGTTAGGGTTAGAAGGGTCTGTTACAAAGGTCTTCATCATGGCTGTTTACACCAGTCCAAAGAGCACAGTATCTTCTTCATTAGTCAGGTAGTTAATCAACATTGGTTAAGCCCTTTGTGCCTCATAAGAATAAAAAGAAGAGGCTGAGTCCTATGAGTTTTCTTAAAGTGATATGGGGTAGTATGGTTTTACACACATACACACACACACACACACACACACACAGCATACTACCCCATATCACTTTAAGAAAACTCAAAGGACTCACCTTCTTTATATAGTTATAGATATAGATAGAAATATTGATTGAGATAGAGATATAGATATATGTGAAATTTGTGTTTAATTGTCACCTTCTCTAGGGCCAGGTGGGGAGGGAGAAAAAAAAGTACAGAGCAGAAACAAAAGAAAACTTAGAAGGAAGCACAGAAAAGCTTCACACCCCATCTAGACGTGAATATGAGCAAGTCATTTAACCACTTTCAACCTCAGTTTCCTCATTTGTAGGATGAGGAATAATACCTGTACCACTAACTTCTGAGGCTTATTGTGAAGATTAAATGAAGTAATATATGTAAAGTGCTACAAAAATGTCTCTTCTTGTTGCTGTGGATATAAAAAGAATTTTCCTTAATTTTTTTTTTTTTAATTTCTTTGGTTCAGTGTGACAAATGGTGGGAAGACAACCCTGGCCAAAAAACTCCAAAAACAGCTTCCAAGTTGCAGTGTCATCTCACAGGATGATTATTTTAAGGTATGTTAGAAACTTCATTGAGGGAAAGGGTGCACCTTAAGGCAAATATTTATTAAATTCTTAAAGCAATTGCTAAACATTGTGCCTGTTGTGGTGAAGGTAGACTTGGGTCATTTAGCTGATCGTCCACTAGGTGACACTGTGAATTAGTCATTTCTGTTTGGTTGTTTTTTGTTTTGTTTTGGTCTTTTTTCATTCATCAGTTCATTATGTTTTAATGTCATCACCAAAATCATTCACTAATGATGACACTTTTTATTTTTAAATTTTTGACATTTCTGCTACACTTAATATTTCTTCTGATATTCATATTCATTTTGTTCCAGCCAGAGTCTGAGATTAAGATAGATGAGAATGGATTTCTACAATATGATGGTAAGCTGATTAGTGGTATCATTTACAAATTTATGCGCTATCGTTCATTTCCTTTTTTTGCAATATAAGGGCCTCTTTTGAACAAAAAATGAATCTTAAAATTTGCTTAAATATGTCTCTTAAATCAGCACACACTTAATCATGCTGAACAGTTTTCATTAATTAAATCATTTCCCCAGTTTTGCATGTGAAATTGGAATTTTTAAAGCAATGGTGAAATTACAAATGTTCTCTCCTATCAAATTATCCTTCATTCTGGCAGAGCTGAATTCTTTAGTTTCCCCTTTAAAGTTGTTGGAAATGGGACTGTAATGTAACACTTAGCACCCTAGGGACTTAGCCTGGGGCAGAGCACTCTACTTGCTGCTAGGTCCTGCCCTAATTCTCCTCCCCTCAGGTGACCTTCCCCTTTTCTGGCCCTCAGACAGCCAAGCCATTTTCCCTCAGCTGCCTGTAAAGAATTGTCTACAGATCTTAGAAACAGATGTCATACTCTCTTACAGAAGCTGACATTATCTTAAAGGTAAAGAATTTTAAATACTGTAACACATAGCCTTTTTATGCCCTTAGAGATCATAGGCCTTAGGACATGTATTTATGTGTATGCACATATTTGTGTATACATGTAGAGAGTACATCAGAAGTTAGTAGCAAACTCTTAAGTCACTTTAGTGGGGTTTTAAAAAATTGTTTAATTTTGACAATAATAGTAGCTATCAATTATAGCGCACTTTAAAGTTTTCAAAGCATTTGCATATTTTATTTCATTTGATCTTCACAACAGCCCTGTGAGATCTGTGCTGTTAGTTTTTCCCCATTAGTTGTTGTTTTTGTTGAGATTTCAGCAGCGTCTGACTCTTTTTGACTCCATTTGGGGTTTTTTTTTTGGCAAAAATACTGAAATGGTTTGTCATTTCCTTCTCCAGCTCATTTTGCAGATGAAGAAACTTAGGCAAGCAGGGTTAAGTGACTTGACCAGGGTCATACAGCTAGTGAATGTCTGAGGAAGGATTTGAACTTAGGTCTTCCAGACTCCAAGTCCATTGCTCTATCCACTGTACCACCTACCTTCCCAATCCCCCTTTTACAAATGAGGAAACTGAGGCAAGCAGAGACTCAGAGGTGTTAAGTGACTCTCCCGGGGTCATACAGCTAGTAAATGGGTGAGGCATGATTTGAACTCAGATCTTCTTGACTCCAGGTCTAGTATTCAATATACTAGCTGTCTAGGTGAGATTGGAATAAAAGTTCTCTCATCATTTCCTTCATATATGTGTGTATGTGTGTATATATGTATGTATGTATAGATACATACGTATCTATACATACATACACATATGTGTGTAGAAAGAGAGTGAGATTATTTCTCTCTTGTATTTAATAACTAATTTTTTAATTTAGACCAAGGTTTTTCCCCTTTTCTTTCTGCCTTCTCATCCAGAAATCAACCAGTGTAGGAAATCTTCCTCAAAGACTTACCCAGCCTGGAAAGCTAAGATCTAATCAAAGACAGTAAAGAAATTCTAAGTTTCGGTAAATAGATGGATTCCTGCTCATTGTATTTACTCAGACAGTAAATGGGAAAATGTAGATTCTTCTTTTTGTCAGAGGGGTGATATAGAAGTTGACCAGGATTTGGGTGTTCAGTGTCAGTACCCCAAGAACCTCAATGGAATAAGCCCACCTCTCATTATAATATTCATTTTCTCATTAATTATTAACCAATCAGAATTGATTGCCACCCTCAGGAATACCCACTCTTATAAGAGCATATGAACTGTGAGCCCACTGCCATGAGTCATCTTTGGTTCAAGAGAGACAGCCAAATGACCATTCCTTTTATTGATAATATGCTAGCATTAGTAATAAAATGATTAATTAGCCAGAAACTAAGTCTCTCAAACTTTTAAAAATCACAGTATATGTGTGTGTGTGTACATATATGTGTACACACACACATACACAAACAGATAATTACTTAGAGAAACAAAGACATTTATTCCTTGTTTGTGCCTACTTCTCCAGCTGAAACCAAGGCATTTTCCCATATTTCCCTTCCACCTTTCCCAGGATCCATTCAAGACCTTATTAGATGGTAGGGAGTGAACCTAATTGTATGACTATATTTGCAGCTTGTTGAGTTTTGCTAAAAAGAAATTCAGAATATACAGAATGAAATTATTATGTCCTGAGGAGTCAGAATTTTCCACTGTGTTTGAATTCTTATGTCCCATACATCCCCCTGCTTCTGCCTCAACCCAAGCTTCTCCTCTCTGCTTGCTGCTTTGGAAGTAGTGTGATATAGTGGTTTAAGTGTAAGACCCAGAGTCAGGAAGACCTGGGTTCAAATCCCACCTCTGAAATTTATTAGCTGTGTGGCCCTGAGCAAGGCATTTAATTTCTCTGAGTCTTAGTTTCCTCATTTCTAAAATGACGGGATTGGACCACATGGCCTTGAAGATTTTTTTTTCCATCTATAATCCTATAATCATTTTCTGAGTTTGTAATGGTACATACGCTGATTAAGAATGGATCACTTCTCAGCACCTTACTTTGTCCTGGAAGGCAAAAGAATCATCTTTCTAACATGAATCATAATATTAATTAGGCATAATATTAATAATTAGACAAGGGGGTCTAATTTTTCTATCAAAAAATAAAAATTTGTAATTGCAAATAAAAAATTGTAATTGCAACTTTTAAAAAATTGAAAATATTCACTGCAGGCAGTCATACGCTTTGAGGCATTGGGTATTTTGATGAACAATGTGGGTTAAGTGACCCAGCAACCAAAAAGTTACTTGCCATAAGGAAATGAAGCATGGTCAATGCTTTGCCTGTCTTCCTAATGCTAGCATAAGCCCACGTGAAAGGCTAACTGTAATGATCCTTGTGTTTTTAATGCATATCAGCATAGCTCACCTTCGCTGGGAAAATTTTTTTTAACTGGAATTATGATTTCATTGGTGTGAGAAACTCCGAGGGAGAAAATTCCTTTTACCATTAGAGGCTGGCATCTCCTGTACAACTTCTATGGAGTTGCCTGGAACACTGAGAGGATAAGTGCCCCATGGCCAGTATGTTATCAGAGGCAGGACTTGAACCCAGGTCTTCATAATTCCAAAGTCACCTCCGTATCAATTTACACTACATTGACTCAGGGAACTTATATAATTTATTGATATTAAAGCTCTGGATTTGGAGTACCTGAGTTCAAGTACTACCTTGATACTGACTAGCATTGTGACCCTGAACAAGTCACTTAACCTTTTTTAGCCTCAGTTTTCTCATCTGTGATGGAAACATAGCTGCCTACCTCGCTTTGGTCCTAATGTGGAATGTGCAGTAGCACATTCCTGGAGCTGATCCATTCTCCCACTTCTGAAGGTGGACCTCAATGGCTTCTGAACAGAAGTGGGACCTAGATTGCTTTATACTTGAAAGAGTAAAAGAGGGGATAATTGGCTGGGAAGGGAAGGACGTTAGGGGAAATTATGATGATTTTTTTAAAAAGCAAATGATACCAGTAAAATCTTATTTTAAAGAATTTTTGCAAAAAGCACCTTTTTCCCTTTGTAAACTCAATGGTCTCAGGAATAGAAACTTCAGATGTCATTGGAGGCAGCATGGCAAAGAGAAAAAAATATGGGAATTGGTGTCAGTAGATCTGGGTTCAAATTTCAGCTCTATGACATTCATTATTATCATTATCATTATTTTAATGGAACTAGAAGAAATTAATTTCAATAGTTGACATTGAAATTTCTAAAAACATAGTTTTTGACTTGCTTTTTAAGAAGATGAATTAGGTGACATATTTCCAAAGTTTTCACTAATATCCCAAGTAATTATTCTAGAACACTAAGTGGAAAAAATACTATTTTCCTTTCTCTCCCCCTCCCCTTCATTTTTAGTTCATTTTATAGAACAGAGGCTACTTTTCAAATTCTTGGGCAATGATGTATCTTATCTAATGGTTGACGTTTTACTAGTATTGTGCAATATCTAAGACACACTGTTGCTCATAAGTTTTTTTTCTTTCAGAATGCTGCATATTTAAATTCTACTTTCAAATTAGTAGGTTCCAAATACATTTCCTTTGTTCAAATACAAATTCACAAAATCCACTCCTCCCGAAAGATGCTTTAGTTCCAGATGTGTTGCTTAAAATGTTTGATATTCATTTTTTGAAGGGAAAATACAATGATGCTATTTCTGTGACATTTGTAGAGCCCCAGAAATACCCAAAATATCTCATTGTAGGCATCTTCATCGCTACTCTTTTATATTTTGTCTTTTTAGAACTTGAAGCTCTCAATATGGAAATACTGATGTCTGCTGTCTACTCCTGGATGAAAAACCCAAGAAATTCCCTAGAATCAGATGACCTGGAAAGTGCTGAGGAAGTCCCTATTTTAATCATTGAAGGTTTCCTTCTCTATACTTACAAGTAAGCATACCACCCTAACATTGATTCCACATAGACAAGGAAGACTCGAGAACTAAATATGTTATCATCTTAGGCCTCTTGATTCTGTATGGAATAGAAGATATTTTCTGACCATTCCATATGAAGAGTGCAAGCGAAGAAGAAGGTAAAATTTTAAATTACCTTTTTTGCATTGTCATCTGTATCAGGATGTGTGTGTGTGTGTCTGTGTGTGTCTGTGTGTAAAAATACTTGATCATGAATTAGTACTTTTCAAACACCTCTTTCAGATCTCTACTTGTAGGTACTTACTGTATATGTCACCATTTATAATATAGAGAAATCCTAGTTCATGGCTCTAAAGAGATAAAGCTTTTGGTTCAGTTAGTTTGATTTTTTTTTTTGGCTACACAATGAGGTTAAGTGACCTGCCCAGGGTCACACAGCTAGTAAGTGTCAAGTGTCTGAGGCTAGATTTCAACTCAGGTTCTCCTGACTCCAGGGCTCGTGCTCTATCCACTGAGCCACCTAAATGCTCCCGATTTGATTTTTACTGTCCATTCATTCACAGGGATGAATTTAAAGTGATGTTCATTCAGGCCCCCTGCAAATTGTTCCTGTAAGAGAAGACTAACAAAAACACCTAATATCCTTTAGCTTATTTTTTTCCCTTATTCTTTAGGCTGTAGACCTAAAATTCATAACATTATTCAATGTATAAACTAGGAACACTGGTGTGCTGGTAAATATCTAAAAACTGGCTCTCCAGGGGAAAAAAGTATGCCCAACGTACTCATAAGTTCCATCTGTGTTATTACTATTTTCTCCATCTCTTCCTTAAGTCTAGATGCTCCAATAAATGAATGAATGGAGTTAATAAATAAATCACATCCTAATTTAAATAAATAAACAGACAAGCAGATAAATAAAAAAATGAAACCCTGATTTGTAGCACTTGCTGATTATCCAGGTACAAATGCTCTATTAGCTGGAATCAGTTGGAGCTTTCACCAGCTGGAAGAGATCTTTGAGATCACATAGTCTGCCCTCATCATCCAGCTCAGACCTCGGTGATCCTCGGTTTCCCTATAACTGGATTTCTCTCTTGTTCCTCCTGCCTGAGTCCTCATCCTCTACTACCACTTCCTGCTCTGTGTAGCTAGATCCCCATTAGTGTGAATAATTAATCTCATAAAGTGGTCATATTATTCAAATTCCCACTGCATCTTTCCACTGGGCTGGAACTAATTCGTGTATTTTACAAAATTATAATTTTGAATAGTACAGATTGTAATATGTGACTACTTCATGGAATTCATCATTTGAACTACTTGGGACCTAACTATACTCCAGCTGCCCAGTGACTAGGGTCTACTTTGTCCTGCCTGTCCTTCCAGTGGCTTCCTGGCACACAGTAGGTGCTTAATAAATGCTTATTGACTGACTGATTAAACTCTAACCTCTTTGTGACTGAGTACTTGCTATCTGTTTCCAGATCCTCTCACACTTTTACTACTTAACCTCCTCCGCTGACCTTTACCCCAGTGGAGTTTGGCTACTTGATTGCTGCTTAGATCTCCACCCTGTGCCTTAGCTCTAAGTATAGACAATCATCTTGCTCCTGCCCTCTAGCATTGTCAGCAGAACCCCCCTTCCTTTTTCTTATATACCCCAGATTGAACCCCCTGCATAATAAAGCAGACCAATTGCCTGTCACTCAGACCCTCCTCTCCTCCTCTAATGAGGAAATAAGGAATGAGAATGGATATGGTCTAGTGAAAGCTTTAGGTTTGTGAAAGAAAACCATTGAACAGGAACCATTATATAATAACTATAGGACTGCTGCAAAGTGCTAAAAGCTACTTGGTCTCATTACTAAGTCTAAAGGACCTAGTGTATCTCAAAAGCAGTAAATTTAGGCCAAATGAGAGTGCTAAAGTTTTATGCCAGTGCCTTGTGGTAGCATTTGCCTCAAACCCTATATTTTTAAAAGTTATGTCATCACAAATACTTGATGATTGATTGATTGATGCTAGTGAGACATGAGCTGTACCAGGTCCAGCCGTACTGGAAAGGCTTAGTTTACAGGTTGGCGGTTATCCCATCATCTGAGGCCCAGCTGAGTATGAAAAACCCTCTCACCAGAGAGTCAGTTACCAGGGGATGAATTGTTTTTAGCCATAGCAATTCATGAAAACTGTCTATTAAGGCATAGAGGAAGGATTACTAAAATCAAAGTTAAAAACCAAACCAGCTATAAAATGGTGGGTAAGAACAGCCCTAGTGTCTATGATAAAATGGCAACCAAGTGACAACCTTACACAGAGGGGTCAAAATCTGCTGCAATGAAAAAAAAATTTACATACTGGTTATTTCCATTTATATATATTTTTTATTATATCACTCTAATTTTCATGTATAGTCAACATTTTCTGACATCATTCCTTAGGATGGGTCAGATTGGGGCAAAGGGGTCACACAAAGGGACATATTTCTCTCCTAAGAATGGAAACTTTAAGAAGGAAAGATGAGCATGGGCAGCTCCAAATCCAGACAAGCAGAGAAGCATCACAGGAAAGCAGGAACAGCGCTACTACTCCCTTCTTACGTCCTAAAACCATTACCTCCCTGACCAGGGACAAACCCCATCAATGCTGCTGGGAGTAAAAGGGGACTTTTGAGGAGAAAGAAACCAAAGCCTCAACCAGCCCATTTATAATTTACAGTCCAAATACACAAATTAGTCTTAACTTTAGTCCATCCTATGAAGATAACATTCTTAGTTATTTTCATATATTGATACTCTTATCTCTACCTTGGGAACAATGAAATCTAATAGAATTTTCTTTTACAGATTACTAAAGGTAAAAAACAGATGATTGTTGATTAATGTTAATGGATGTGGTAGACTGCCATGGCCTTGGAATATATTATGTCTTAGTCATCTTAGTCCATGAGTCTTTCCATAACTAACCAGGCTCGTCCTTGGACAATACATACAAGTTGTCGTAGGGACTATACTCACAGGATTATATTTTTCACGAGTTTTTAAACTAATTGTTTAGTCTGACATGTTATTTTATGAGTTTTTCACTGACATTGAGTTTTAAATAATATACACTGAACTGTTTTTGATTATTAGAATTTCAGTGGCAGAAGACAGTTTGGAAAAATTTATATCTAGGGTAAATCAATGTCCATTAAAGTTATTTTATTAAGGCATATTTTATTGCTTTCATACCTCCAAACATTATTTCAACTATATCTTCAAAAAATGTATCCTGCTACTAATAATTTATTTTATATAAGTGAAAAGAAAGAAAAAGAGTGAACATGATATAGCAAACAGAGAGCAGGTCTTGAAGTCAGGAAGACTTTGGTTCAAGCCCTGCCTCTGACGCATACTGGCTATCATTGTCACTTTACTGGACAAATGATTTCACTTCTCAGTATGTGAGACCACTGGGAGTGGAACTTCCTTACTGGAGCTTCTACTGATGAAATTTTTGGTCAGCATTTAAAAAAAAAAAAAGGACCCTTCTATTTCCTGACCATTCATGTTCTACTTAGCATATCATTTCCGATTTGCATAAGTGAATATGTGCCTATGTATGTATATATGGATATCTTTATGCATATGTATCTATAAAACCTACTGTGGTTTTGTTTTGTTTTTTTAAAGCACCAGGGTCTATGAACCACCAGATCCTCCAGGATACTTTGACGGGCATGTGTGGCCAATGTATCTAAAACACAGAAAAGAAATAGAAGACATCACAAGGAATATAGGTATGTGATTTTTCTCTTTGGTCAAAGTGTTTTCTAAAATTATTATTCCTTAAATGAGAGGAAAAAATTTAGGAATTTTCTCTTTTAAGGAGATTTTTCTGCACAACTATACAATGACTGTACCTCGTGGCCAAAATAGTACTGCCCTTTAGGCTTCATCACCTTGTCTCTAGGACACTGGCTATTTTGGTCTCTGTTCCTAGTGTTTTGACTCTTGCCAAAAGCCAGTCAACATTAGGGCAGCCCTGTATGCCCAGTTTAGGAAACGGAGGAGAGTAGAAAGAGCTCTGAAATCTGAAGATAAAAAGACCTGGGTCAGGTTGAGGTCTGCTAATTCATAGTTATGTGATGTTGTACAAATCATATAAACTCACTGGCCCTCAGTTTCCTAGTCCGTGAAATCTGACATATACATATACACACACACACACACACACACACACACACACACATACACACACACACACATATATACACAATACGTTATATAATGTATATTATATATGTATGTAGTATGTGTATTTGTACTATCTAGCTCTTGGGGTGGTTGTTAAAAAAGTGCTTTGTAAATCTTAAAGCATTCTTCAAATGTAAGTTTTTGTTAATAGGAGGTGAGGAAAGAGGCAGCTGAACAGTTAGGGGGATGAGTGTTCCCCTTCTCTTCCTTTACTCCCAAGTGGCAGGGCAGCAACTTTTACTTTAACTCCACTTGATCTCACAAAAACAAAGTATGGTCTCCTGAGAAGCCTCTGATGGCATCCACTGTTACCATTTTAAAATGGGGAGGGAGGGGCAGGGGAGAGGAATATTTGCAGAGGAGAGTTACGCAGGAAAAGCATTTTTTCCTTAATTTGCTCTTAAAATATTGAGTGATTGGAGAACAATTTAAATAAAGTTATCTGCCTCCTACTTTCAAAATGGTCATTTGTTAGGGGCCCCTAGGTGGCGCAGTGGATAGAGTACCAGCTCTGAAGTCAGGAGGACCTGAGTTCAAATGCGGCCTCAGACCAAACACTTGACACTTACGAGCTGTGTGACCCTGGGCAAGTCATTTAACCCCAATTGCCTTTAAAAAAAATGGTCATTTGTGTCCTGACCTTGAAACTGAATGGGATCTTTTTTTTTTTTTTACAAGGCAGTTGGCATTAAGTGTCCAGGGTCACACAGCTAGCAAATGTCAAGTGTCCGAGGCAAGATTTGAACTCAGGTCCTCCTGACTCCAGGACTGGTGCTCTATACATTGCACCATTAGCTGCACTGGGATCTTTTTTCTTTCATTTCTCCATCCTTCCTCCCTCTCTTCTGGGTCATTTCCCTCTTCCCACCTCCCCACCCCCCTTTCCTCCCTTTCACAGACTTTTTTATTTCTCACCTGTTTTCCAGTCCTTCATCTTCACTTCCTTCCTCATGTCCAATTCTGCTTTGTTTGGGTATTTTAGATAATTATATTCCAAGTCATGGAAGCATTTAGATTTTTTTTTTTAGTAAGCCTGCCAAAAAGGAGATACGTCTTTCCTTGTTTGTTTCAACTGATCAGCCTATGGAACCATGATGATAACCCCAAATAAGAGTACTTGGTTAGATCTGTTTCTCTCTTCTCCTTTTCCCACAAATCACTCTTTTTAAAGTTTTTATGGTCAGATATCAAGCAAGTAAACAGAGTAAATATGGGCTCGTCTCCAGGTTTGGAGTTACAGAAAAGATGGAAATCACTGCACAAACTAGTTGATACATTCGCTTTGTTTTGTTTATGCTTGGCTTTCCTGTGGCTCTTTTCTTAATAATATTTGATTTTCCAAGGTACAGTGAAACCAATTTGACAGAAGCAGGCAGAAGTCTAAGAAAAAAGAAGAACCCTACATGTTTTGTAATGTTAAATATTTACTGAGAGAGATTCATGACTCCCAAACTCCAATTTCATTGATCTAGCACTAAAGATTATTACAGAGATCTGTCTTATTCAAGTCCAAGGGAAAGAACAACTTACATAATTCACTTAATGCATTTATCAGCCATAAAGCATAAATCCATATGAAATTTAAGTTAATGAACATTCCTGCCTCACAAAAAAAAAAACTTTAAAAAATTATAAATTATCCTGGCAGGAAAATCTTTGAACCGATTTTCTCCATCTTCTAAGACAGTGAACTGAAATTTATGACCAGCTGTGTCAACTTGGCTGTGAATCTACTTGGATGACTTGACTGATTTAAAATAGATTTTTTATGGTCATAATCATGTGTTCTTTATTTAAATTCATTGGCATTGTAGAGAGATGTCAGTTTCATCAAATGAGGTAGTGTTTGTGCCATAAGGCTATTGTTTCTGCTATTAACAATAACAACAACAGCAACAATAATAAATTTCTCCATTAAAGCCCCACTCTTGTGCGCCAGTGAGGTGTGGAGGTGACCCTGGCTTCACAAAGGCTTTGGTAACTGGAAGTGAGGCTGATACTACCAAACTGGAAAGGCCTCAGGTACGATCTCAGCAGCAGATTATATGCCAGGTTCACACCACCAGAGAGCCGGCCACCAGCTGGTGACTTCTGGCCTCAGCAATTCTCAAAATCCATCCACAAAGACACCCGGTGGGATTTCTTTCTATATCTGTGGAAATCCTGGCTTACTGAAGTATTCAATTATTCTACATCCTTTTTGTTGTTGTTCTTAGCAGTTACCCAAAATAAGCCTCCTTCTAAGTTTTCATAATCCTGAAGAGTTCAGTAGATCAATGTCTCGTTTTTTTGTTGTTGTTGTTGTTTTTTTTAATTTTCCCTTAGTTTATTTAGATGGGACAAAATCTGAGGAAGACCTTTTTACACGGGTCTGTGATGACTTGACAGAAGAAAGAGCAAAGCAGAAATGTGAGTACAGTCCTGTTAAATGGGGTTGGGGAGAAAGGGGAGAGGCACACTACCTCTCACTGTGACCTCCCTGCATGGTTTGGTAACCTGTTTTTATTAAGCAAAGTTAAACACTTCAGGGCATTGAAGAAAAGTTTAAGGATATTGCATGGCAGGGGAAATTGCCTTCAGACTTAGGGGTTCTTAACCTGGGGTCCATGAGCTTATATTTACAATATTTTAATAACTATATTCCAATATAATTGATTTCTTTTGTAATCCTGTGCATTTTGTTTTATGCACTTAAAAGCTTAATTCCAAGAAGGGTGTTAATAGACTTCACTGGACTGCCAAAGGGCCTCTAGACACAAAATAGGTTAAAAAAAGGTCTGAGTGCTGAATGCATGCCATGGTAGGTGTTTAATAAGTGCCTATCGAGATAAATGTGATTTATCTCAATCAATCAAAAGTGTAGGCACTTACTAAGCACCTACCATCGCTAAAATCCATTGTCACAAGAAAGGCAGCATAGGGAACTGCCCTTGAATTCAAGTCCTGTCTCTGACACATATTGGTAGTGTGACCCTTACTGTCCCCAGAAAACTCTTGTAGAACATTTGCAGGTTGGGTCTCTTTACGGGAGAAAGTTCTTACACTGATGAAATCACAGATCTGGACAGAAATTTTTTAAATGTATTGGGTGCTAGATTACAAAGACAAGTCAATTCACATTTATTAAGTGTCTGTTAAGGCTCACTGACAAGGGATAGAGAAGGCTGAGGCAATGAATTCAGTCAAATTTTGCCCCAGATCAATGGTGTAAATGGATTGCACGCTGGGCTTGGACTCAGGAAGGGGTTTAGTGGTTTCAGAGTGTCTGACTCATCATGACCCCATTTGGGTTTTTCTTGGCAAAGATACTGGAGTGGTTTGCCATTTCCTTCTCCAGCTCATTTTATAGATGAGGAAACTGAGGTAAAAAGGGTTAAGTGACTCACCCAGGATCACATAGCTAGTAAATGTCTGAAGTCGGATTTAAACTCAGGAAGATGAGTAATCCTGACTCCAGGCCTAGCACTCTATCCACTGTGCAACCAACCATCACTTAACCTCACTTTGCCACAGTTTCCTCAACTGTAAAATGGGGAACATAATAGCCCCTACCTCCTTGGGTTGTTGGTGAGGATTAAATAACATAATATTTGTAAAGTGCTTAGCACAGTGCCTGGTACACAGTAAGTGCTTGTTTCCTGTGAGGTGAATGCAATTAGATCCTCATTTTACAGATCAGGAAACTGAGGTTGGGAGGTTAAATGATTTGCTCAAGGTCACACAACCAGTACATGTCTGAGGCAGGATTTGATCTCAGGGCTTCCTGACTCGAAGTCCTGTGCTCTATCTACTATCCCACCAGGTGCCTCTAATTATCATTATTATTATTGTTAATTTGTTGCATTGTTTACATTATGTCATTATTATAATTCACACTGATATACTGCTTTACAGTTTGCAAAGTGCTTTCCACACAATAACCCAAGGAGAGAATAAATAGAGTGCAAATATCCCAGCCAGTCTTGTCCCCTGCTCCAATTGCCCTGAGCACTTGACAGGCATAGCTGGTGCCAAAAGGCCATCTGAGGGCAGTTTCTCTACATGCCTGCTCTTTCCTTGCTTCTCCCAGAAGGCTGGCAATGAAAGTGGCATCTGTGCAGCTTTTCACTTAACTGCCTCCCGAGTGTGTTTACCTCCCCACCACCCACCAACGTGGTTCAAAAAAAATTAACAGAGGAGAGGGGGAATGAAGAAAATTATTCCAGGAATGCCACAAATGACCCAGATAATTTTTTTAATCAATTCTATAATGTAATACAGATAGTAACTCATTGGTAAAGCCCCCACATTTGGAAATGTTAGGGAAATTCTGTCCGCTTTCCCTGTTCTAGTCTGGAATCCTGGAATAGTAGATACTCCTATATGTTTTTAAATTTTCTTCTAGAGGAAATGTCATTTACCCAGAAAAGCAGGGAAAAGAAATGATTATAGAATTGTTTCAACTATTGCTTAAAAACTACCCCTGACCACACCTGTCTTTCTTGGTCTCCCCAGGTCTGACACATGCTACATACTTAATAAATACTTGTTGACTAACTGAATGACCATGAGATAGGATATAGAGAGATTAAAAAATAAATGTAAGAAAGCAGAGATAATTTGCCAACCACCATGCCATAAAAATACAAGCAAATAATACAGAGCTGAATGGAAACTTAATCACTTCTTGGATAATGAAGGGGTCACAGAACAAAAAATGTCCTAAGACAGAACTTAGCCATTGAGTGTACTAGTGATCCATTGGGGGATTATGAGCACCTGCCTTTCATCTGGACTCAGTTCAGGGCATTTCAGCTTACAGATGCTGTATTAAAAAGTTATGATTCTCACTCATGATTGTTGTAGTCATTGAGTGCTAAATTTATCCCTCTGCTTCCTAAGATACTCATGAATATTCAGCCCAGCCTTTGGGGCTGTTTCCTCCTTTATGATGATGAATCTGAGTCAGTACAACTATTGCTGGCAAACTAGGGATTATACTGCAACCCATTAACATTTCAGTTGTTTAATCAGTTACTCCCTCTTAAAGTTGTGCACCTTCTGTAAAGTCAACTCTTGTTAATGACAGTCACACAGAATGTGCCATGGTGTCTCTAGATGGAGTGAACCCATTACATGATTTAAAAGAAAAAGAGTTGCTTAATTCTTTGAGAAAAAAGCATCCTATTATGGGGCCAAAGCCCACTGTAATGAGACTAAAGGAAAGCACAACTTTGATTAATTATAATGAGCAACCTTGGCCCAGAAAAGCTAATGATGAAATACTCTTTGCCTCAGTAGAGAGGAGGAGAACACAGATGCAGAGTGTAGTAGGCTTTGTCAGATGCTGTTACTGTATAGATTGGTCTTGCTTAAATGTTTACCCTTGTTACAAAGAAGGCTCCTTGGGGCAGCTAGGTGGTGCAGTGGATAGAGCACCAGCCCTAGGGTCAGGAGGATCTGAGGTCAAATCTGGCCTCAGACACTCGCTAGCTGTGTGACTCTGGGCAAGTTACTTAACCCCAGTTGCCTTTAAAAAAAAAAAAAACATAGCCTAAGAAGGATCCTCTGTGTGTGTGTGTGTGTGTGTGTGTGTGTTGGTGATGTGGTAGAAGAGAATTAAAAATATGTCTTTGTCATAAAAACAAAAGACTCTTCCAAAATCACTGTGACTTTGTGGTTCCTGCTCAATAGGGTTCACAGCTAAGTATTCTCCATTGACATCTCTTCTTTTGATATTTTCCCCAAAGGTCTGCAGATAACTCCCAAGGTGCCTTCCAGCTCAACATCTGGGATCCTATGAGTAGCATTGAGAGAGGATCCATCAGAATTCTTTCCAACATGGATTAGAAGAGTCTAAAGAAGCTATTCAGGCATATAACCAAGAGAATGATACCCACAATCACCACCATAGTGTAAAGGAAAACAATACTAGAAGACTTCAGATTACTCTAATAACCAATCTTGATTCCAGAAAACTGATGATGAAATATGCTTGTCTCCTCTTGGGAGAGAGATGATGGACTAAAGGTGTGAAAAGCTTCATATCTGTATATGCCATGATCTGATGGTCAGTGTTTTGGGGGTCAGACAATGAGCAGGGACTTGCTCAACTATTTTTTTTTAATGGGGGAGGGTTGCATGGAAGCATTAGGAAGTGACAAGGATGTAGGAAAAAAATTAAAACTATCGGTAAGACATTGAAAGAGAGAGAACAAAATTATTTTTATTCTAAAAGTTCAGTGTCTTGGTGCTATTGTCAGCTCCAGCTGAGTCTTGTCAGCCCTGATGGAATGAAGCACATTTGAAAAGCAGATAACCCCTTTAAGCAAATAGAAGTATCATCTTTCACTACCTGCATTCACCATCAGGGGTGGGAAACCTGCTGCCTTGAGGTCACATGTAGCCTTCTAGATCCTTAAGATAATTTTAAAAAATTATCTGTGTCATTTGTGGTACTCCTGGAATAATTTTCTTCATTCCCCAGCTCCTCTGCCTGTTATTTTTTTTTTAATTTTGTAAAATTTGGATTCAGTCAAAAGGCTGCACTTCAGGATCTAGAATGCCACATGTGACCTCAAGGCCTCAGGTTCCCCACACCTGCACCAGGTCCTCCACAACTTGCCCACAGTTCTACAATGTGCTCAGGTCTCTCTATCTTAAAAGGCATTCCCCGTACCCCTGCCACTCATTGACGTCATCGACCCAATCACTCTCCCTCCCCTTCACTGCCAAAAGTCTAGAAAGAGGAATTTATACCTGCTGTCTCCTTTCACTCAGTTCCGTGCAATCTGGTTTCTGTATCCCCTGCTCTACTAAAACAACTCTTTGCAGGGTCACTAAGGACGCTAAACTCAACGGCTTTCATGTAGATCCTAATCCTCTTTGATTTTTCTGCCTCATTTGGACTACCCCTCTTTCTGGATAGTGCCATCTCCCTTGACTTCCCCAACAGTGAGCTGTTCTCTCATTTCTCTGACCATTCCTGTCCTGTCTCTTTTGCTACCTTCTTCTCTGCTATTTTAATGTAGATATCTCCCAAGTGTCTGTCCTTGGTCCTCATATCTTCTCTTCCTATACTTAGTGATGTCATCCACTCCCCTAGTTTCAGTTATCACCTCTGCAGATGAAACCCATATCTATATTTCCAGCCCACCACCTCCCTAGAACTTCATCCCCTGTTTCCAACTACTTGCTAGATGTCTGCCTGCATGGCTTTAAATTCAACATGTTCAAAACTGAACTCATGTCCTCCAAAATCTAGCCCTCCTAATCTCTCTATTTTTGTTGATGGTGCCTCCATCTTCCTGGCCACCCAAGCTAAGTACCTTAGAATTTAACTCTTCCCTAACCCTGACCCCCACACCACATACCACACATCCAGGCATTTGCCAAGTCTGTTGATTTTATCTCCACAATATCTGTCCAGTCCAGTCCCTCCTTTCCACTCCTACTAAAAGTACACTTGTTTATGCCCTTGTCTGTTTTCAGTGGCTATTGTAAGAGCATCCTGACTTGTCTCCCTGCCTCCAGTCTATCACTGCTTCCCCTGTAATCTTCCTAACACACCACTCTGATCATGTCTCACTCTTCAAGCTTCTGTGGTTTCTTTTACCTACCACCAAATCAGATATAAACTCCTAACCCTAGCGTTCAAGTCTCTCTACAATCTGGTTCCCACCTACCTACATAGCCTTTCATTATAGTCTGTATCCCAAATAAACTAAGCTACTTTCTTTCTTTTTTAATTAATTTATTTTAGTTTTCACCATTCACTTCCATAAGCTTTTGAGTTTTCAATTTTCTCCCCCTCCTTGCGTACCTCCCTCCCCAAGACAGTGTGCAATCTGATATAGGCTCTACATATACATTCCTATTAAACATATTTTCACATGAGTCATGTTGTAAAGAAGAATTAGAATCAATAGGAGGAACCACAAGAAAGAAGAAACAAAACAAAAAAGAAGAAAAAAAAGAGCAAGTAGTATGCTTCATCTGCATTCAGACTCCATAGTTCTTTCTCTGGATGTGGATAGCATTTTCCATCATGAGACTTTTGGAGATGTTAAGACCTTGCACTGCTGAGAAGAGCTAAGTACTGGGCTGCTTTCTTTTCCCTTTTCTAGTCCTGCCTTCTCTCATCTCCATTGCCTTTGCTCACACAATTCCCTATACCAGCAGTGGGCTTCCTACTTCTGTGTCCTCCTGTCGATGTCCTTCAAGACCCAACTTAGATGCCACCTCCTCTATTTACAAACCTCTATCCCAAGTGAAAATGATTTCCCTTTCCTTAGATTTCTGCTAGCATTTTGCCTAGACCTGTCCTTTCTGCTTAATTATTTAAGTTAATTGTCTCCCTGGTCATTAGATTTTAAGTTCTTTAAGAGTAAGTTCTGTTGTGTGTGTCTGTGTCTGTGTCCAAGTCCATCCTCAGCACTTAGCGCAGTATCTGCACAAATTAAGCACTTAATAAATGTTTCCTGAAATTGATTGATTCTTCTAGTCTGATCATTTAGATTCTTTATGCTCTTCTTCTCCGTTTCCCCAGCGTACTAACCTATTTCCAGTGAAAGTACCCAAATAATGTGATTTAGTCCAAATAGTCTGGAAAACAGTTTGGAAATATGCTTAAAAAGAAAAAAAAAGGTAACTAAATTGTCCAAGTCTTTTAACCTGAGCATCCATCTGCTAAGCTTCTATCCCAAAGAGATTAAAGATGGAACAGAAGATCCAAAATATATGCCAAAGTAAGAAGGAGGAGGAAGAGAAGGAGGAGGAGAAAGAATAAAGCTATCTCATAGAAAAACAACTAACTTGGAAAGCTAATTGAGAAGAAAAAATCTTAAGAATCATTGAAGTACCTAAAAGCCATGACCAAGGAAAATAGCCTAGTTATGTTTCAAATCATCTTAAATCTATCTAGATCTGTTAGAACCGGAGGCTGAAGCAGGGATAGAAAGAATCCATCAAAAGAAATCCCAAAATGAAAACTCTCAGGAACATTGTAGTAAAAATCCAGTTTCCAGATCAAATAAAAAATATTGCAAGGGGTCAGAGAAGGATTCAAGTACCAAGAAGCCACATTTGGGATCACATATGATTTAGCAGCTACTATTGCAAATGAGTAGAGCGTTCAAAATAAAATATTCTAGAAGGCAAAGACTATAGGCTTAAAACCACGAATTACCCAAGAAAATAGAATACAGTCCTACAGGGGTAGTAAATGGATCTTTAATGAAGGAAAAGACTTCAGAGCATTCCTGATTAAAAGACCGGAACTTATAGAAATTTTGACTTTTAGCAAGAATCAAGAGAAGCATAAAAAAGTAAACATGAACGAGCAATCGTTAAGAGATTAAACAAAGATAAACTGTTTATGTTCTAGTATGGGGAGATAATACATGTGTCCCATCCGAACCTTATTATCACAAATAGTAGTGGGCGTCTAATTAGAAGGCCTGAGAGTGGTTCTGTTATGTCTTGATTTTAAAAAAGAACAGAAAGGAATACATAAAGGGAGGATAAGAAAATAAGAAATAAGCATTTATATAGCACTTACTATGTGCCAGGCACTGTGCTAAGTGCCTTGCAAATATACTCTCATTTGATCCTCACAACAACCCCGGGAGGTAGGTGTTATTATTTTCTCATTTTATAGTTGAGGAGATTGAGGCAAACAGAGGTTAAGTGACTTGCCTAGGGTCATACAGCTACTAAGTGTCTGAGGCTAGATTTGAACTCAAGCCTTCCTGAACTCCAAGACTTCCTGACCCATCTAAGACCCATTCATTGAACCATCCAGCTGCAAAGGTTGGGACAAGGAGAGAGAGAAAGTAAGCTTAAGGAGAATTATCTTACATAATCAGGATTTGCAAGCATAAATTTATACAAACAAGGAGATAGGCTTGTGAGAGTAGTAAGAGACAGATAGATTATAGATAGGCAGCCCCAGTGTTGTTCTGACGCCTATAAAACTAAAGATTTAAAGTCATGGAAGAACCTTTCCAGTGCATTGGTAGAATATCCTTGGAGGGTTTATGGAAGGAGAGGGATTAGAACCATACCAGATAAGAAGGCATGGATGTATTTCAACCTTCACCCATGGGGGAAGAACCCACATCAATTAGATCATAGAATTTAGAGCTAGAAAGGATCTTAGACATCACTGTGTCCAACCCCTTCATTTTACAGATGAGGAAAATTAGGCACAAAGAGAATAAATGATTTGCCTCAGATCATACAGTCCAAGAGTGATGGGATTTGAACCCAGGTCTATCCTGACTCCAAGTCTAGTTTCCTTACTGACTGTACCATACTGCCTCCCTAATGAAGAATTGACATTTAAAACATTAAAAACATGAGCTCACAATTCTAATGAAGTACTGAATATTAAAATATGAGTTTACCCATATATTTCCCAGAAAGAGGAAGGTATATCTTTAAAAAAATCATGAAAGCATGTCATTTTTAAGAAAGTGGAATAATCTGCCTTTCCCAGAGTTAGGGCAAGTATTTGATTGCTTTCATATTGCTCGTGGCAATAATATTGTATGGAAATTTATGCTGTTCTAAAATGAACTGAAAGAAAATAGTTTTCAAGAAATAGGCATATTCAATTACTTCTATGATGATTACTTCTTAATCAGCACAGAATTTGTCTCCTGGGACTGAGTGTAATTTAAAATCTAGAATGCCATTGGGATAATTTTCACTACTTTACAGACTTGGGTTTGCAAAGCCATCACTCAGGAGTGATTTTGTTCCTCCTAGACATTTTACTGCATTTTAGCTTTGATCCCGTCAAGTTCAAGGTAATGTGGGTGGATATTGTGCTGAACCAGGAGTCAGGAAGAGATGAAGTTGAATCCCTGCCTCTGACATATACTAGCTGGGTGACCATGCATAAGTATTATTCTTTCTGAACATGTTTCCTCATCAGCAAAATGGTGATAATAAAATATGCAGCATCTTCACAAGATCGTTGCAAAGCTTAAATGAGATAATGTATGTAAAGTGCATTATAAATGTGGTCTGGGTTTTCAGTCTACATAGGGATGCTGTGAAGACTAGATTAAAGGAAACAAACACTGTTTTGGAGTTGATCAGTCTTTTGAACTTAGCTTCAGTTCAAGAAGAGACACAAACAAATGACAATTTTCTTCCTACTTTGTTAAATTTGATATACACATTCCATCTCCCCTCAAAA